TAAGGTAATTGTGACCTTGACCTTTTACCTAGTGACCTAAAAATTTCCAATAGGGGTTTTTTCCCCAATAGGGACAATTTTCCTTTGAAGTTTTGAATTTTGGGCCAAAGGGAAACCTTAATTTATGCTCCGGAAACTTTTTTCATTTTAAAAGGAAAATAGTGACCTCCCCCCAAAAAATAATAGGGGTCTTCTTCCCAACTATGAACAATCATTCAATGAAGTTTGAATATTGGGGTAAAATTTAAAACTTACGTTATGCTCCGGGAAACTGTTTTCAATTTTAAAGGAAAAGGTGCCCTTTGGGACCTTTGATTTTTTTTGCCCCCAAAAATCAATAGGGGTTTTTCTACCCCAATAGGGACAATCATTCTATAAAATTTTGAATTTTGGGGGTCAAATGGAACTTACTTTATGCCCCGGGGAAAAAACTGTTTTAAATTTTTAAGGGTAATAGTGACCTTGACCTTTGATTTTTTTGACCCCAAAATAAATTTAGGGTTTTTTTTTAACCTAATATGGACAATCACCTATGAAGTTTGATTTATTGTGCCCCAAAAGGGAACTTAAGTTATGCCCCGGAAACTTTTTTTAAAGTATCAAGGTAATAGTGACCTTGCCCTTTGCCCTTTTGACCCAAAATAAAATAGGGGTCTTCTCCCCAATATGGAAATCATTTCCCTATGTTTTTTAAAAACATTGTGGGCCAAAGGAACTTAAGTTAGGGTTTTTCCGGAAACCAAATTGCTGGGACGGACAAAACAGACGGGACCCCAAAAGGGTTAAAACTTTTAATTTATCTTTTTCGGGCCCTTTTAAAAAAAGGGCCCCGGGAAATTTAAGAAAAAATAATTTTTATTTGAGTAAATTTTTTTGAAAAACTTTTTTTTGTGGATAAAAGGTAGGGTATTTCATTTTTAAAAAAACAAATAAGTTAAAAGGTTAAAATTTTATACCTTTTTTGAATTTTAAGTTCTTTTAAGGGTGTGGGACCCGTTTTTTCTCAAATAAACCCCCTTGATGAGTTTAGGGCCCCCCAAAGGGCCCCCTGGGAATTCATTCTAATTGAACACTGATAAAACCTTTGAACGCCCAAAAAATTTATAGACCCGGGCTTTAAAAAAAGATGTTTTAAAATATTGACCTTGACCCTAAACCTTTTGGGGTGACAAACTTGTGCCACGTTTTTCAATTTTTTCAGCAGTCAAAAATTAGGGCAGCGGACACAAAATAAAGGGCTTTAAACACTTGACATTAAGTGTGACCCCTTTCATTTTGGGATACCAAAATAAATTATTGCCCCTCTGCAAAATCTTCTCATTTAAAGAAAGATACTTTGCCCCAAGGGAATTTTAAAAAAAAAGTTTTAGCAGTTCAAAAGTTTGAAGCAGCACGAAATGTAGAAATTTTAAACCCCTTGACCTTTTTAAAAGTTTACCCTTTACTTTGCGGGTTAGCAACCCAAATATTGCCCCTTTTGCCCCCATCATCTAAAAAATAGTGTTCAAAAAAGTTATTTCAAAATTTTTTAGAGGTTTAAAAAGTTATAGCCCAAAACAAGAGTTTACGGACAGACAGACAATAGACGATGGACAGAAAGGAGGCCATTCCCCATTAAAAACCCCCCTCGGCTTGGTTTGAGGGTTCACAATGTTTTTTGTAAAAAATATAAGCTTTTAGTCTTTTAAACCTCCCGAGGATTTAATATTTCTATAAAAATTTTGCTATAATTGTTTTTTAATGAAAAACATGATCCGGGGAGTCGGCCAATTTGCCCAAATAGAGGCAAATTTTGAAAAAAGCTGTGGTACAGGAAATAATTTGATGATATCATATTCCAAATATCAAAGCTTTTGACAAAAGGGTTTTTTTCGTTTTTAAAAATATTGCATAATAAAAACAATGACCCCCCCGGGGGGGAAAAGGGGGATTTTTGACCCCATGCCTTTTTAATTTGAATCTTGATAAAGGTCCCCCCTAAAACAAAGTTTCTTGCCAAAATCTAACCTCTAACCTTTTTCCATGTGGGCAAGAAGACTTTTTTTTCCCGGTTTTTCTTATATACAAAAAAAGTACATATAAGGAAAAACCTTTGGAAAAATTTTGACACTAGATGCAAAATTTTTTTTAAAAAACTTTGGTTTAAAAGACCTGTTTGATGATAAATTTTAAAACTTAAATTAATTTCTTTATTTCCCCCTACCTTTTTAAAAAGAAGATTTCTTTAAATTTTTACAAAAATTGGGAGGGAATGAAAAAAATTTTTAACCCCAGGGCATAATTTTTAACAATCTTGGGAAGGGGGCACTACCAACCCAAAATTTCATGCCAATTTTATTTTTGCTCATTTTTTGCAATTAAGAAGAAGATTTTTTTCCCCAAATTTTTACCTTTTTTAAAATATATATAAAGGGAAACATAAAGCCCCCACGGTTGGGCCCCAAAGTTGATTTCTAAAAGGGGAAAAAATTTTAACAACTTTTGGGAAAGGGCCCCGCCAGAAAGAACTATATATAAAAAAATGAAAGCCCCTAGGGCCCGGTTTTTTACCCCCCAGACAAGAAGATTTTTTTTATTTGGAACAGAAAAAGCCTTATGCAAAATTTTTTTTGCCCCTAGACCAGGGGGGTTTTGTAGAAGAGATTTTTTAATTTGTGTTTTAAAGAAATTTATATTTTTTCCCAAAGGAAAGCCCTTTGGAAAAATAAATTTTTTACAGTAAATTTTTTATCAGTTTAAAATTTTTTATGCTTTTTTTTGATGAAAAATTTTTCCCCATTTTTAAAAACTTTTTTACAGTAAATTTAATTGGATTAAATGAGGGATTTGAATGTTTTATCACCTCATAAAATCGTGGCTACCAGAGGAATAATCGGAATAACTGTCTTTGACACCCCTTTCATCGACTGGATATCGGCCAGGAATCAGTTCAGTCGTCGGGTATCGAGCAATGCTGTGGATCATACCATGTACATCATACCCGAAATTATATTAAAGAAAAAGGTTTAAATTGAATAGTTATCGAGCGGAAACATTTTTAAATTCAAGCACTCTGTGGCCCAAGATCTTTTAGCATTTACTTTTGAAGGGCTATTGGCTAATTAATTCTCCAATCAATCTGGTTAAGCAGCTTCTACTTTATATTTGGAAAATGATCCTATTGAACTTTTGTAGGTTTTGGCCAAATGTTTCCATATTTAATTTAGTTGAAACAGTTTTAAAGTTCAAGGACAAAGACCTTGACATTTCCAAGCCCATAAATAGAAGTTTGTAGGCTAGGGTACAAGGTTCTCTTGTAAAGTGGCCCTTTTAACCAACATACAAGCAGACATTTCAAATACTACATACTGACATATATAAAGATTCATATTATATCTTCCATTTTTATCACTACGAGGGTTGTTCAAAAAGTAATAGGACTGCAGCTCTACTGTTCACATTTTTAAATTTACGTACAAAATTTTACATGAGACAAATATCGGAACATGTTCTCTATATACAGTGAAAAAATCAAAACAAAATGTGAAGAAATGAAATTTCTGTGAAATTTTCAAGTGACAAGGGGTACGAAACGCGGCGCAAGCTAACAATACATTAATTGACGTTCATGACGTCGTAAAATAAATCGAAATTGTAATAAGCGTCATTCTTTCTGAAAGAAGTCTCCCTAGTCTCTAGGTGTATGAGTCATGTAACTTTTACTTTGCCTCATATGTGGAGATGAAGCAAGAAAAAAAGCGATCACTTTCTTGTTCCACTGTTTAAAAATAAAATAAAATAAATTAATGCCCGATAGCCGGGCATTCTCCGGGTTTTCTCGTATGTTTTTGAGTAACCTTGGAACTCAATAGGACTGAAAATGTTAAAGTAAAAGTAATTTATTTTATTAATTTACTCACGTCATTGTGTTTAAAACAATGTGATTATATACAGACCAATAAAGATAATTATCAATTGAAAAGTATCCTTTTCTACTTAGCACAGTCTATCGTTTATTAAACAAGTTTTCGGGGAAACACTACTAATTATTTCCGTTAACTCTTACATTAATTTGTTTATTACACGCTATATCTAGTTAAAAACAATAAAATTAGTGTTTATAACAAATGTTCTTATTTACAATCCTTTGGTTAAAACTGAATAAGTAGACCCAGAAGCAGAGATACAAACAACGATAAACAGTTCGCGTACCGTTACCGTGGATTCTTTTGTCAGCCGACTTTTGCCAATTGACGTCACTAACGTCCTGTCAATTTCAACTTTCATCCTCACCCTTTCTCGTTATCGATCTTGTATTTTTCAGTTTTGAATTGCTTGTGCCAGCTGAAAACAAGTGTCCTGATGGCAGGGATAATTGTCATTTGGTTATTTAATCATTTTTGTGTGTATCTGAATGATTATATCAATCTGTTGGCAAAATTTATCGATGGCACACATTTCTGTTTGTTAAAAAAAATGTCAATATTTCTCAACATCTAACGCTATGGACCGCTGGCTGTTTCAAAACACTTAATGAATTAGGCCATTTCATGTCCGAATGACGTCAAATTTGGACATAATGTGCACAATAATATAATTTCAACGTATTGATGGAATACAATGGAAAACAAACAGTTATTTATGAATAAATTAGAAGTAAGAACTTAGCTCCAATAACTATATTTATGTGCAATGCGCCGGGTGCGTGTTTACCATGGTTATTTCAATAGCAAAGGAAAAACGCGCTTTAGTACAATAGATTAAAAAACTTATGTTTGATTTGTAGAAAACATTTTACGATTGCTGTACATATGAAAATATTCTAAATTGAATGAAATTTGAAAACGCAAGACTCCCAGTCCTATTACTTTTTGAACAACCCTCGTATTTAATAAACAAATTCACTGAAAGAAGCATTCATTTTTAGTTAAATTTTATTAGTTCAGTTTTAACAAGATGTTTCTTTAAAGTATGCATACATAATACTATTTGTACATTCTTATAATAATTGAAAGCCTTACCATTTCTTCCTGTTTTCTAAAAGAAACTATCTTATTAGAATATTTTCCCACTCTAGGTTTCCCATGTCCACTGATTTATCTTCTTTTAGTATTAAGAGTCCCTCCTTCCATTTTCCAACAAGTACTTGAAAAACTTTACATACAATGGGTACAAGATTTGATACAACAATCTTGCAAACAATTTAAATTTGTGTTACATATACTAAAATTTACTTTGTATTAGAATCAAGAAATAAAGCTTAAAAATTCTTGATTTTAACAATTTGTGTATTCTGTACTGATCATGATTCCCCATTTTAAGAATGCAATTATAACCCATCCACTTTCCTCAAAAACAATTTTGGTTTGATTATTGTTTTTTTTTTTTAACAAGATGTGTCACTTAAGTATAGTTATTCCCTGAAAATTATGCTGGGACAATAGAAAAATCTCCTGAAAGGGTATATTATATTTTAATATACCAGTTCAGATATATTATTTTTGAAACTTAACATTAGAGACACCGTCAAGGGGGTGGGGGGGGGGGGGGGTGTGGGGAATGCACAACTTTTTTTTTTCTTTTCCTCCCCCTTTTTTTGAGGCCTCAAACAGTGAAAAATGCCCTATTTAGGCCCAAATACTGTTTTTTCGTTTGAGAAATGTTGTTTTAAAAAAGTAACCACTTTTTCGGCGCGGACCCCATGAAAATGATAAATCAGGGGGTTGCGAGAAGGAAGGAATGTGCCCCCTTCTGTTTTTAGGGGTTTGAAGGGGGCAGTAGTCCCCCTCATCCAAGAATTGAGTTTGAATATGTAAACAACTTTTGGGGAGATAATGAACAGAAACGTGAAATTTCATGTTTTTTTCAATAGGAAAGGGACATTACTCTGTAAAAAAAATCATTGAACCATGCCAAAATTAAAAATTTGGCCTGCGCATTTCTTTAACTATCCATATGTCAATTTTGAGCTGAATTTTAATCCGTTGGGGAGATAAGATAAAAACTAAAAAATTCATATTATTTTAAAGTAAAAGGGGCTTACCTAAACAGACAATTTGAACTTGGTTTTTGCACATTCGCCAAAAAAATTTTTTGGAATGTGATGGGTAAAAAGGGTCAGGTCGATTTCATCCCGACTGAAAACCAACGCGAAAAACCTTTCACTTATCTATTGCATTGAGAAGTTGAAAACCATTTTGAAATAGTTTTTGGGAAAAAACAATGAAAAATATGATTTTTTCCAATTTTTGGAGTCCCCGTTGCCAGGGCAAAAAAAATTTAAAATTTAGAATTTAAAGGGGTTTTAGGGTTAGTCAAATATTTGCCATTGTTTCATCAGTATTGAAGTTTTTTCATAGTTTAAGTAGTGGAACTTGTAACAGGGGGCTTTTAAATAAAAACGGCCATTTTTTCACAATTGAGGGAAAAAATTTTAAGTTCAAACCCCTAAAACTATTAAATGTTACAAAACCGTTTTTAAACAATAAGATGAAACTATTCAGTTTTAATTTTTTGAAATTGCATTTTGCATATTTATGTAAAATAATGGCTACATACATTTCAAAAAAAGAGAGTCTAAAAAAAAATTTAAAAATTTTTAACATTCAAGAAAGATTTTTGTCCAAAAATCATTAAACCAGCCCAAAATTCAAATTTAACTGCTTTTTCCTAAGTTTAATTATATGCAAATTTGAGTTGAATGGTCCAAACCTTTGGGAAGAAAATAAGGGAAACTTAAAATTTTTTTTTTTTTTCAAGTTCAAGGGGAAAAATCTGTCAGCTATCTCAAAAAATGAAAATTCGAAAATCCCAGTGCATTTTTGAATATCCAATTTTTTTAAATTTTAGTTAAATATTACAACTTTTGGGGGGAAAAATGAATCATCAAAGGGAAGAACATTTTCCTTTTTTAAAGTTAAAAAAGGAAAAAACATCGAACCCTGAAAATTGAAATGACCTGCGCATTCCTTTAAAAATTTCATATGTTAAATTTTAGCTGAATGTTTTAATACCCTTGGGAGAAATGAAAAAAAACTGAAAAAATTTATAATTTCAAAAGTGAAAGGGGGTTATCTGCCAAAAAAAAATTGACCCGACCAAATTCAAACTTTGGCTGCGTTCCTTAGTTCCCATAGTGAAATTTTTATGATGTGTAAAAACATTGGGAGATAACAAAAAAACTGAAAATTTCATATTTTTATCAAGTAAAAGGGGCATAAAACGCCAAAAAAAAATAAAACCATGCCAAATTCGAACTTGACCCGTTTTTTCATGACATATCCATATGTTTTGTTTACTTTAATGTTAAAAGTTTGGGGGATAAAGAACGGAACTGGAAATTTATATTATTTTCAAAGAAAAAAAGGCATAACTCTGCAAAAAATCACGAACCAGACCAAAAACGAATTTGGCCCGAAATTTTTTCAAAAATATCCCCTAGTTAAATTTGAGTTGCTGTGTCAACCGTTAATAAAATAAGGAAACTAAAATGGGTGAATGAGGAAGGGGCGGAAAAGGGAAAAGGGGATTATATGGGGGGATATATGTTTTGAATGTCCGTCGTCTTCCCCCATTTGTTCTTAAACAGTGGAAATTTTTAATAAACATCAAACTTTTTCAGGGGGTTGTCAGATAATTGTCGAATAGTTCAAATGTGGAATCTCAATGAAAAAATAGGTAAGGAGCTAAAAATAGAAAATCTTGGGTTAACAAGTGCTATTGGGAAAAATTTGAATTGCTTTGATGAAAATTTTAAGTTTGAATATGGGTTATTGGGTAAAAAAATAGTAAAGAAATATGAAAAATTATTAAATTATTGTAATTTTTGATTGTATAAAGGGAGGATGCTTGTTAGAATTCTCTGATGAGTTCGAACATGGGTATTGGGATAAAAAATTGGTCACAGGAGTAAAAAAAAAAATCTTTTTAAACACTATTGTTACTGGATAAATATCCTAAATTGGTTTGAAAGTTTATTTGATGATTATTAGGAAAATTTGAATAGGGGTCCACCCTTAGGAAAAAATGGGTAACCCCCCAAAATATGAAAAAGAAGCCCAAAAAGAAAAACCGGGTTTTAAACCCCCAAAGATTGATGAAAGGGAATTTAATAAAAATATGGCATGGAAAAATGATGTTTTTTGTCAAAAAGATATTTTTTACTGTTTAAAAATAAAAAAAATATAATAGAAAAATGTCGGGCGTATTTTCATGAAAGCCAAATGCCAAGTTAAGTATTAAAAGTCAAAGTTTGCTGAACCTTTTCCCTTGACTATTTAAAGTAGAAACCCCAACTGCATTTAATATAAGCTGCCTAACAGCAAGTTGGTGTAATAGGTTTACAGAAAACTGTTATTTTTGGGGAAACTGAATTTTTTTTTTTTTAAGGAACATTGACCTTGCCCTTTTTCACAGACCCGGGGGTAGCAACCCCAAGTTCCCTCTTGATGAAAATTCCCATTAAAAATTTGGGTCAATAGGTCTAAGCAAATTCAATTTTTTATGCAGAGTTTAAATTTTTATTTTTAGCATCTGTTTAACCCGCCCCCCCAAGTGGTGTCTTTATATAGCTTCCCCAATACTAAGTTTTTGTCAATAGGTTAAAAAAAAATGAAGTTTTGAACGGAAAATTAAATTTATTTTTAGCAACAGTGACTTGATCAAAAAAGATTGGGTAGCAAACCTAGCTGTCCCTTTTATATAAAACTACCCCTTACACCAAGTTTTGGTGTCATAAGGCCTAAGCAAATGAAGTTATTGAGCAAAAACAGAATTTATTCTATTATTTTGGTAAACAGTGACCTGACCTTGATCACAGGACACTGGTAGCAATCCCAAGATGGCTCTTGGTATAAGCTATCATACACAAGTTTAAGTCAATATGGTTGTCAAAGGCCTAAGCCAAACTAAAGTTATTTGAACAAAACTAAATTTTCTATTTTTAGTAACATGCCTTGATCACAGACACCTGTAAGTAACATCCCAAGCCTGTGGCTGATATAAGCTACTATTACACCAAGTTTTTGGTGCCAATAGGCTATGCAAACTTAAGGTGTGTGAGCAGAAATTGAATTTCTCATTTTTAGTAACAGTGACCCTTGACCTTTGATCACAGCACCTGAATACACTCCCAAGCTGGCATCTTGATGTAAGCTACTTATATACAAGTTTTGTGTCAATTAGGCCAAAGCAAACTCAAGTTTTATTGGCGGAAACAAAAGTTGACTCCTACGCCCAACAGCCCGTCTTGCCGACTTCAACATTCAATAACCCAGGTTTCTGTTGAAAACCTATGGTAAAAAACTTGAAAACTCTAGTGGTCACCAGTTTTGACTCAATTGTCATTTAATTTTGGTAGGCAGCTTGTCTTAGGTAATTGCTCATATCAGTTCGAAAATGGCATCTCGGATGAAAAACTAGGTCACAGGAAGCTAAAAGTAGAAAAATCTTTGATAACACTCTATGGCTTACTGTTTTGATCAAATATCCTGGAAACTTAGTTTGAAAATTTGGTTTTGATGATTTTTAGATCAAGTATTGAACATGGGTCACCTGGTGCAAACTAGGTGACACAGCTCAAATATGGAAAAACCTTGTTAATATCTAAGTTAGTCACATTTTGACTTCAACTGTCATTAAAACTTGTCAGATGCTTGTCTAGGTAATTTAAACACGATGAGTTTGCATGGTAAGGTGGCTACTCTAGGGCCATCTTGGCCCTCTTGCTTATGAAATTTAGGCAAAGCCTTTGAATAGGGGAAGTCATTTTAACAATTAATCCTTCATTTTTACAACCATTAAAACAATCTCAAACAAATTGCCATATCAAGTTACAGTCAACTATCCGTTATCTCGACATCGCTTTTCTTCGGATTATTTCGTTATCTCGGATGAAATTTGAAATCCCGATTTTCTCCTTCTTTATCTAATTTGCGACAATATTTGTTATCTCGATATTTCTATTTCGATATATTTCAGTATCTCGATGTAAAATTTCAGCCCCAACAGTTATTTTCACACGTATTATTACTTTGTTTATCTCGAACTTATAGTTTTCTTTCGCTGTTCCTTTCTCAGACGTGGAAAACACAATCTAGACGATAATGCTCA